CTTTCAGAAAAGAACAGATCTCTTAACATGGCAAAACAAGATAAAATAAAATTAAGTACAATTTAGAGGACATAAAAAGTTAACGTGGACCCCAGACTGATGATTGGGGGGCCAGCATGGGATTGATCCAGACATCCTCCCACTGAACCTGGGTGATAGAGAGGAGGCCTTGGCAATCTGTGGGACTTTGGGGAGTGGAGCAGTGTTTATTCCTGGCACACAAAGGCACTCTGGGAACCCATGCCATGTGGAGGGATGTTCTCTCAGCCTGGACACATGGGGAAGAACCTGGGCCATTCCTGGGATGATGTGACAGACTCTGGAAATCCCTCATGGAGGTCCTTGCCTTCCCTGGGGAGTGGAGTGGGGATGGAGTGGGGGTAAGGGGTTGGGAGGATTGGGAGGTGGGGGAGGAGGGGAGGGGGTGGGAACTGAAAGTGACATGCGTAAAAAGTTAAATAAAAATATGGAAGAAAGTTAAATTGTTACAAAGCATGAAAGAACATAAAAATGTGTTCTAGTTTCTAAACTAGTCAGCATGAGTATCTTGTAGCCTTAGGCAAATTTGGCAGTGTCATAACAGTGTCAGAAAGTAATGCAAGAACCAGGGAGAACATAAGGAGGGAAGGAAGGACCATGACATGCTTTCCTTTGCAAACAGTGAATTTATAAACCACTATGTGGCTGGGAGATTCATCTCTGAGTAGGGCTATCAAGGACTCAATATTAAGTCATCAGCACCACAGCAGAATAAAAGACAATAAGAAGAGGAGGAGTATGAGGAAGACAAGGACAAGAGGGAGGCCGAGGATGCTGAGGAGGTAGACAAGAAGGAAGACAAGGAGGATCAGTCAGTAATCATTTTTTTCTACTTAAGTAATTACTGATTTGAGTAATCAAGTGTGAAATTTAAGGATACTAAAAAAACATTACTTGAGAGAATGTATACACTCTTGTAAATCAGTCTGACAGATGCTGGCCTTTAGATAAGTAGTCAAGGTAACATCACTTGACACATTGCTGATTTTGGAATATTTATGTTAAAAGTAACCTGTATCATCCTAAATATGAATTAAAACTAGGGATTCTGTGAAAATATTTCTAATTCTTCTTGAAAATACAAAGGAGCTATTCCTGTAACAGTTACTAATGTTTAACTCCTAGAACAGAAACAACATTAAACAAATTGCTATGAAATACTTTTGTGGAAAAACTATGAAATGTGGATTCTAGATTGATATTATATGAATATTAAATATAATTTAATGTTTTATGGTGACTACTTAACAGTATATCTTTGTCCTTTGAAGGTGGGAGCATAATTCTTTATCTTGTTTTAATTGACTTCAACTCCATATATTTACATGGATTATATGCACTCAGTATCATTGTCTTTCTAGTGACTCTCCAAACAGACACCTCTAATACAGGAGGCAGATGCAGGAATAAATACATGAGTTTGAAGGCTATCTGCTAGACATAATGAGTTCAAGGAAAACTGAGGTCTACATAGGAAAAACATGACTAAAAGAAAAGGAAGGAAGGGAAGGAGGGAGGGAGGGAAGAAGGAAGGAACAAAGTCCTGAAAATGAGCAGAATGTGTACTCTAGTGTACTGGAAATCAAGAATTATCAAAGAGGTGATTAATTTGTGATGTTAAGTCCTGGAATATATTGTATCAATAGCCAATCAATTGGAACAGACACATCAGAAACAATCTGCATTTTTACCAAGCTCACCATGACAGCCAAAGCACTGAAATACAGTGTCAATAAAAACCCAGTAAAACCAGTACAAGACTACCAAATATCTTTGATGAAAATGAACTTGAAGTATATTTTAGACATTCTAAAAAAAGAAATTATGAATGAAGGCAGGTAATCCTAAATTCTTGGGACTTAAACCAAGAAAAGTGGAAGTTCAAATTCTGCCTGGGCTATACAGAATTCAGGATAAGACTCTATCTCAAAATAAAACACAAATAGAGGCCTGGAATAGAGCTCAGTACTGCAGGTATGTTGGTTTGCTGCATTTCATAATCTTAAATTGGAAGGAAGATAGTCTACTAGCCTGGAAAAGGGTTCTCCTGGAAACTATGGGTTTCTAAGAAAAACCAGGAAATGGATAACCACTTATGAGTTGTTGGTCAAAGAGGCCCAGAAAACAAAATAGAGTCTTGCCATTTCTCATGGTTGCCTACCTAAGAGAGACATTAAGATCTTAATGCTGAAGCCACCACACACCTTGCTTGTATGATATAGAGAAATCAAGACATACTACAAATACTGCTGTAGGAGGAAAGGCATCAATGATTTTTAACCAGCTGTGAGCCCTACAAAATATAATTCAATATACTCAGTGATGCAATATTTGCATGATTATTATGGAAGTAACGCCTTAAGATTTAGAGAAAGGGCAATTCATAACATTCAGTTTATACTTAAGGGTACACCCAACAAGATTCAATGGAAAGTCCCAATCCAGTAGTTACACAGATGGCAGAGAGTGAACAAAATTAGTCCCACTATAAAAAAAGATGTAAATCTAGAAAAAGAACAAGTAGGGAAGGGAAGACTGATGGAGATGGGAGGGAGACAGGAAAGGATGAGGGGAGATAACACCTAGAATTTAAATATACATATATGAAATTGACAAACAACCAATTCGGAGAAAATATCCTTTGATAGGAAAGGGAAAATCATCTGCATAGCTTGCAAAGACAAAAAAGTTAACAGGTCACATGCAAAATTCATAATCCATAAGAGAAACTTTAGAGAATAGAAATTGAAATGGCAATTACTTGAGTCAGGGATAGTAGCCAATGGCTGCAGTCCTAGCACTCTAGAGGCAGAGGCAGGCAGAAGGACACCCATGGAGACCAGCCTGGTCTAGTAAAGGAATTTCATGCTAGTCAGGACTGCTTAAGGAAGCTTATCTTTAAAAAAAAAAAAAAAGCAGTCTTGATAGTGAAAATGTAAGCAACAGAGTAAGGAAATAGTCTTCAGCATATCCATATTCAAAACATAAAACCAAATACAGATCATTAAAAAAGAAAATCTACTAGAGAAAACAATAATAAAAGTATAGAAATTTAAAGAATATAAAAGAGGCTACCTGAAGGCTATTAAATATTTAAAATAGAATGAAGCACAGCTATCAGGAAAATAAAGCTTTAAGCTCTGAGACACATTGGTCCCATGCACAAAAATTGGCTAAATGTTAAGAATAAAAGTTCTTAAATTGTTATTAAAGAAAATAATTGGGAACTATTTTTTAAAGCTGTGTGAGTTAAATTGCTACAACTTGTAAAGCTGTCGTTCCGTAGAAATTGGACAACTATATCTACCTGAGTAACAGTGCATTTGGGTATGTTCATGTTACTGTGTTTTCTTTTATGTGGAGTTGGGGTCCAGGATCCATAGTAAATACATGGTAACATGTGCCTTTACCTTACTCATATCCTCTCATATAAATACAATCTTCAGGAGATGTCTAGTGACATGTAATACAATCACTAAAAGGCTCAAGTAAGTCCATGGTTATGAGCATCAATATAAAATATACTGAACTACTTCATGGAAAAACATACACTTATGAAACTTGTCTAGGGTCAAATGCAAATTATGTGTACATCTAAGCAAACTGGCGAGAAAAAGAATAAAGGTGAGGTAGACAGAAAGACACACATACCAGAAACTCAGTATGATACCAAATCAAGATTTCACATAATCCACAAAAATTACACTTGATTTAGGTTTAATCTAGTGATTGAGAGCAGGAGAACAATAGAAGACTGTAAGATAACTGTCCGGCTCTGATCTGTGATGGACGCAGAGTGCACACTGTGACAGATGATCTGCCCAGATAAAAATGACTTGAGTAACTCTCTATTGTAACTGTCAATTCCTTTATAATGAAAACATTATTCAACATATACTTCAGAGCTTTGGACGAATAAGGAACAATGATCTTGTGGTATCAATGTTAAGTGGAAACTACTTTCTATAATTTTATAGAAATTAAAGTGTCAGCTAGTTAACTGGAAAATGCTTGAGTCACTTTGTCCCTTTAGAAGCATGGCATCCCGTGATACCATGTGAAGCAAGCCATATGTGGTGCTGCTTGGGGTCCAGGCAGCACAATTCTCTCTCATACCTGTGTTTCTTGCTGTTTAACTCAACTTCTTTAATTATGCTAAATGTGTTGCTAACTTCTCCATCTGTGAAGACAAAGAGCTGGAGAAAATATGCATACATTGAGATTGTGTCGAGTTCATCAAAAGACAACAGCATTGGTCCTCATGGCCTAAAACAATTTCTAGTCTTTGTTGCTTCTTCACACAGGGGTGGGGATCACAGTGCTCTGCTCTCATTTGCTCTATGCTGGCACAGAGACTCTTCAGTAGAATGAATTTTATACCCTGGGAAGTTTCACACCCTCCCAATCCACCTTTCATCTTAAACTTTTTTTATTATCATTTTTTATTTTAATTTTAAATAGCTTGTTTTACATGTCAATCCCAGTTCCCTCTCCCTCCCCTCCTCCCGCATTCCCCTTCCCCCCCCACCCTCCCACCCTATTGCCAAATCCTTCCACATAGGGGATATCTAGAGTCTGTCATTTCACTCTGGGTAGGGTCCAGGCACTCCCCTAAGAGTCCAGGCTGAGAGAGCATCCCTCTTTGTGCTATAGGCACACGATGACTGTTTGTATTCCAGGGATAGACACTGACCCACATCTCAACATAAATCCAGCAACACTGAAACTTTTAGAAGAGAAAGTGGGAGATACTCATCCTAAACTTTTGTTGTACCACAAAAGAGGGCTGACTTCCTGCCCCATGGAATAGAGGAAAAATACTGCCTCTGGTTTTTCTCTTCACTGTATGGTATATGACTTAAGTTTACACACTATTTACACAATTGTACATAGGAGAACTAGGGATCAAGTTAGTGGAAAATTTCACTATTTATCCCTATTAGCTTAGTTCCAAAGCTCACCTGTAAGGGATGGTCAGGAATGGAGGGTCCTTTGTAAATGTCAAGGAGTGGTGTCAAGATTTCAGTGCCCCCAAGGTCTGCTTTCAGATCTTTCACTCTTTTCACTGCCTCTTCCATTGTTTTCTGAGTGTACTTCACACTCTCCCTTAGAGAAACAAGCATGTCTAGTCACATGGCAGTAGCACACATTGTTATTCCTATCACAAAAATTACTGTCACAAAAATTGCTGCTGTAAAACCCAATGCACAGGACTACTCTGCAGTAGTCAGATTAAAAGTGAAGACCCTTCTTTAAAGTACATTCTTTCACATTCCATGGTCTTTGAAGAAACTTACGGAAAGAATTTTTCATAGGAAGATCCAAATCCATAGATGTTGAAATAACAACCCATAGGCAAACTCTTCAGCAACAGCAACAGAGTTTCCTGAAGGTGAGAGAAGATGAGGAGATGGACTGAGAGAGAGCTCTACACAGCATACATACTCCAGTCTAGTAACCAATGGTATAAAAAGCCGTCATCTCATGATGTATTTCAAGACTGAGATCAGAGTGGCCATGCTGGTTATTAACCAGATGGAGAACATACCTGAAGCTACAAGTGGGTCCTACTCATGCCCTTTCCAATCATCCAATCCTGGCACTGCTGAAGAATGAAGAATCTGGTTTTACCTTGGCAGCCTCTATGCATGGCTGAGAATCCTGGTAACTCAAGCAGGATCCCATACTTCCAGAGCGGTCCATGAGGAACACAAATTCTCCACATGCCCTTGTGCCCTCCACTTTTGGGAGATCTGGATAGAAGCTCAGCATTGCAGAAGGAGCACCCATCAAGCTATCTGTACAGAAAAGAGAAGAATCCTATAAGCTACAAGGAAACTCAGGTGTCCTGGAGTTCCCAAGACTCAATTACCACTTCAATAGAAAACTGAAAAGTTCAAATATAAAACCCCTTGTTTTCACTTTTTGTGCTCTGTGCACAGAAGTAAATGTGAATTGTCAGCATAAAAGATAAGGAGAACAGAGATGAGAGGAAGGTAAACAGGGTAGGAGCTAACAGACAATAACACAGTATCTGTGTGTGCAAATTTTAGGTATCTAAGCAATTTAATAGGACACATCAGCTTAGCTGCATGAGCTAAAGATACTGCTAAGATTACAAACAGGAAAATCTCTTTAAACCTTATGAATGTGAAAGTGATCACATGGGTCACTGATTTCATCTTCAGTTAGATCCTTAGGAGAAACCGATGCTCATATTTTTAATGCTTAAAATGACAAATTCCAAGAGCAGGTTACTCAGGAACATTGCCTTAGAAAACTGAGTGAAATCATTTTAAATTGAACCCGATCCCAATATTTAGACATACAGCTTATGGAACAGCAATATTATTTTTAATGTGTAGAGTAGATTTCTTCCCACTCTGAGAGACAGGTGGTTATCATGGCATTAGCACAATTTGGAGAAGCCAGAAGACCATGAGATCAGTGGGAATGTATGTCCACACAGTTTAGAACAAGGTCCTGTAGGTCGTGGTATGCACTCCATGTATGGTGTCTACTATTTCTTTCAAAGCAATTCAAGTGATTTCACTTTCATAAATCAGAGATTCGTTCTTTATAAATGACCACCTCTACTTTTTAACCTCAGCTTCCTCTTCTCTCTTACAAAGATGATAATTCCTACTACATGGTTATTGTAAGGTTAGGTGATACGATATGCTTACTGAATATAGGTCAGGGCTTAACTTACACTGAGCTGTAAACTATAATTGTATACAGTATTCTATTTAAATTTTGTGTTATTATACATGCTAAAATTAATATATCATTTAGTTTATGCATTTCTGTGTATCATGATTACATTAAATGATTTCAGTGAGTTAAGCTGTGCCTTAAGCTTCCCTTGTGCTTATGAAGGAAGTCATCTAGAAAAATATGTGCCTTGGAAAGCAGGAACTAGGAATCAAAGAGGAAAGGAATTACCAAGACTGAGATATGACCATCTTTGTCCCCTAATAGCCAGCAAATCTGGTCATAGAAATTAGATGAGAAAATCTTCATGGACCCAAGAAAATGTCACAGAAACCTAAAAAGCTGAGACCCAACTTATTACATATTAAGTTGCAGAATCTTAAGGTTCTATATCATGAATAAAAAATATTCCTAACTTAAGACCATGTCTGAGTTTGAATATTTCATGACACTCAAATAAAGTTTGAAAAATCAACAAAAAATACAGAGCATAGAGCAACAGGGAGTTGAGGAAGTTAACAGAAACCCAGGGAAGCTGGAATTCCCCTTAGTGACCTCATTGTCTATACAGTGAGGGAAGAAGAATCAGGACTTACATGTGGTTCTGTATGAAGTCACCTTTGTCAAATATTGATAATATTATATTGATGGGAGTTACATATGGAAACCCAGTTTCATGGTAAATTCCTCACAGTGTTTACAATTCCAGCAGCAAAGCACAAGCCCAGATGTCACACTGTGAATACGATTGGCCCACAAGGAGCTTCCATGCATCCACTGAAAATGAATAGTTGTAGTGCCTTTCTTGGGTTGGGTGATGATCCCTGCAACCAAGTGCAGAATGGGCAAGAAAAGCCAACTAAAGCAAAACATGCATTTGAGCTGTGCAGCTTTTTAAAAGTTAAGTATACATATAAGGAAATGTTTTAAATGACAATAACTAGATGAGGATAAGAAACACATCTTAATGGAAAGCAAGGTTTAGTCTAAGAAAAAGTCAAGTGGGCTACAAACAAAGAGTGTGTGCTGGATTCTTGTGATTGTTTCAAAGATCAATTTCTACAGGACACAGGAAACCTAAAACTAATTCTGTGATAAATTTGACCTTGAGTGTGTGCTGGATTCTTGTGATTGTTTCAAAGATCAATTTCTACAGGACACAGGAAACCTAAAACTAATTCTGTGATAAATTTGACCATTATTGGTCATAGAACAAAAAGTTAAGAACTGGCAGCAAGATTACATCCAGTTGTAATGAATTAACCAATAAAACATATTTACTTAGAGTGAAATTATCATTCATGTAGAAAAATGACTATTTGAATATTGCCTATAATTATAATACAGTTGTTTTCCTAATCCAACTATTATTTTATAGTGCTATTAGGAATTATAACTACTCTTCCTTTCCATTATTTAGAGACTGTCTATCTAAAATCACCAGTTTGTTAATGTACATTATTGTAATAATAACATCATAACTCCCCATGTAACTGATGACACAAATAATGACTACATTACATGTTTTCATCATTTACTAATATTGGATACCATTATAATATCAGTCAATATCATCTGCATATTATGTAGACATTTATATTTATTTCAGAAGAAATGTTATAAATATTAGAATTGTCAAAATGAGTATTTACTATTTGCAGTCCAAATTCTTTCAAAACACTTGAAACAAACTGATTTGTTACAACACATCTGACAGTGTGAAGTCACCACAGCATGTAAAGGATGAGACTTTATATGTTACTTGGCCTTTTTCTTTAGCTGCTCTTAAAAAGAGAAACATGGCATGTATTCTCTCATATATGGATTTTAGACATAGATCTGGGGAGTGCCAGCCTACAATCCCATGGCCATTGAGTCTGGGAAACAGAACCTTCATTCAGTGGCTGATGGAAGAAGAGGCAGACACCCACGGCTAAACACTGAGCTGAACTCAAGAAAGCCAGTAACAGAGAGGGAGGACTGATGAGCAAACGGGTTAAGACTGGGCTGGTTTAACCCCCAGAAACACCTGACCTGACAAGGGTTAACTCTTGAATCCCAGGCATCAGCCTGGGAATCCAGCATGGGACTGATCAAGACCCCCCTAATAGGGGTGTCAGTGAGGAGGCCTAGGTAATCTATTGAGCCTTGGGCAGTAGATCAATATTTATCCCTGGTATACAAATGGACTTTGGACTCCCATCCAACAATGAGAAATGCACTCTCACCCTGAACTCTTGGGGAAGGGTCCAGTCCCTGCCCTGGATGAAATGACAGACTATGGACACCCCCATGGAGGGCCTCACCCTCCCTGGTGAAATGAGGGGATATTGGAGGGGTTGAGGGAGGGCATGGGAGGAGGGGAGGGACACGGAAAGGGACCTGGAATTGACATGTGAAGCAACCTTGTTTCTAATCTAAATTTAAATAAAAAAAAAAACAAAAAGAAAAGGAACTAAAGAAAAGCTTTGAGCCAGGTGTGTTGGTGCGTTCCTTTAATTACAGCACTGGGAAAACAGAGACTGGTGAATCTCTGAGTTTGAGGCCAGCCTGGTATACAGAGCAAGTTCAAGAAAAAAAAAGGAGAAGATTTTATCAGATTTGGACATCACTGATCCTAGGAAAGTAGAAATATTCACTGGATTATTCTATTTGCCATTTTGGTAAGACCAGTCATTGTCACGTGTTAATACCAGGCTGCATATTTTCTTGTGAATTATGTGGTCATACTTTCCTTTTAATTATGTACTAATATATGTAAATTAGTCTATAGGACATAATCACCTGTTTACCTATTAAGCCTTGTCATTTTTCCATGTGTAAGTGAAAAGTCAAAGGGCTAACCTTGTGTCCTATTGGTGGTGTCCTTTGCCTTACAGAAGCTTTTCAGTTTCATGAGGTCCCATTTATTAATTATTGATTGTTCAGGAGAAAGATTTCTCTGTAATTCTCTCTTTATTACATCTTCCATTTCGGTTTTAGGGTAACTGTGGCCTCATAAACAGATTTTGGCAATATTTCATCTGTTTCTATTGTGTGGAACAATTTGAGGAGTATAGTTTTAGCTCTTTGAAATTCTGATAAAATTGTGTTTTTAAAAACATCAGGCCTTGGGTTTTTTTTGGTGGGGGAATTTTAATGACTGTTTCTCTTCCCTTAGGGGTTATAGATCTATTTAAACTGTTTATCTTGTCTTGATTTAATTTTGGTATCTGGTTTCCAATTTTGTGGAATAAAGGTTTTGATGACTTAATGATTCTCTGTATATCCTGTGAGTCTATTTATGTACTACCCTTCTTTTCTGATTTTGTTAATTTGGATATTATCTCTGCCTTTTAATTAATTTGGATAAGGGTTTGTCTATCTTGTTGATTTTCTCAAAGAACCAACTCTTTGTTTCTTTGAATATTTGTGTTGTTTTATTTCTTCCAGTTTTATTGATTTCAGTCCCGTATTTGATTATTTCCTTCTGTCTACTCCTGGCTGAGTTTGTTTCTTTTTATACTAGAGTTTTCAGGTATGTTGTTCAGTCTATTTTGTTAGTTCTTACTGATAGCTACACCAGCTTGCTTCTTGGTTCCATTTCTTTTCTTTTCTTTCTCTTTTTTTTGAAAATCTTTTCCCAACCTTTTACTCTGAGGCCATGTTTGTCTTTGAGGTTGATGTGTTTTTCTTGTAAGCAGCAGAAGGATGGATCCTGTTTTCCCATCCATTCTGTTAGCCTGTCTCTTTTTATTGGAAATTGAGTCCATTGATATTAAGAGATGTTATTGACCAGAGATTGTTAATTCCTGATGATTTTTGGTTTGGTGGTGGTGATAGTAGTGTGTGTTTTCCCTTCTTTGGGTTTTGCTATTTGAGGTTTTCTATTGCCTGTGTAATTAAGTTCCTTGGGTTGTTTTTTTCCGTCTAGTACTGTCTGTAGTGCTAGATTTGTGAATAGGTATTCTTTAAATATGGTTTTGTCATGTTTTGTTTTCTCCATCTATGGTGATTGAAAGCTTTGCTACATATAGTAGTCTGGGATGGTATCCATATTCCGTTAGTGTCCTTAAAACATTTGTCCAGGACCTTCTGGGTTTGAGAGTCTCCATTGAGAAGTTTATGTAATTCTGATATGTCTGCCTTTACACATTACTTGGCCTATTTTCGTTTGCAGCTCCTAAAATTCTTTTTTTTTTCATATTGTTAGTGTTTTGATTATTATTATTATGTGGCAAGGGGACTTTTGTGTTTTGTTTTTTTGTTTTTTGTTTTTCTTGTTTTTTTTTTTTTTTTTTTGGTTCATCTTGTTCCGTGTCCTGTGTCTTTTACCTTTATAGGCATGTCCTTCTTTAGGTATGGAAAGTTTTCTTCTGTGATTTTGTTGAATATATTTTCTCTGCCTTTCAGCCAGGATTCGCCTTCTCATATCCCTATTATTCTTAGCTTTGGTCTTTTCATTATGTCCCACATTTCCTGGATGTTTTGTCTTAGGGATTGATTTGATTTAAAACTTTATTTGACTGATGAATCTATTTCCTTTGTTATACCTCTTGTATGCTAGCAGTGATGTTTTATCTATAGTTCCTGTTTGCTTCCCCAGAATTTCCATTTCCGGATTTTCTTAGAATTGTGTTTTTATTTCAGTTTTCATGTTGTGTACCATTTCCTTCACCTGTTTCACTGTTTTTTCTTGGCTTTCTTTATTTCTCTGCAAGATTTATTGATTTCTTCCAAATTTTTGTTTCTCTTTTCTTTGACTTCTTTAAGAGAATTTTTCATTTCTTCTTTAAGAGCATCTATCATCTTCATAAAGTAATTTTTAAGTTCGTTTTCTTGTGTTTCAGGTGAATTGGAATGTTAAGGTCTTGTTGTGGTAGGATCATTGGGTTCTGGTGGTGCCATATTGCTCTTTCCATTGTTGAATGTATTCTTACACCATAATTTACTCATCTGTGACTTGTACCAGTGCCTGTTCTTTCAACTGATGTGGTTTGCACCTGTGCCTATGTAGTCTGCTGGAGTTGCAGGTGAGGGCTGGCCATAAAGAAAGTGTTTAGCTTCCTAAGTATCATCTGCTGAGGATTACACCACAGTAGTAGAGTTTGACCAGAGGTGGGGGCAGGGTACACCAGGTGCTGGGATGGTATAGGGAGGTGCAAGGGATATGCCCTGTAGGTTAGTTAGGGTTTGAATTCTGGGGCAGTCCTTCTGGAAGGTGGGTTGTTCAACTGTTTTAACAACGGTTGTGGTTTGCAACTAAGTCTCTGTAATCTGCTGAGACTGGCCATGAGAGGATGTTCAGGTGTGTGGGATTGGGTGGCAGAGTGGGTCTCAGAGAGACAGAGTCTAGTGGATGGCAGGGGTGGGGAAGAGCCTAGAGGCAGGACTTTCATCTGCTTGCTGGATGGCAGGGACTGCATCAGAACAATGGAGTTCAACCAGAGGTGGGCCAGGGTTCAGCTGGCATTGCTAGTGGTGGAATGGAAAAGGGAGGAGCACAGGATGTGCCCAGGGGATTAGTTAAGGTTTGGACTTTGGAGCAGTCCACCTGGGAGGCCAGTGTCACCTGTTTTTCCAATTGGGATGGTTTGCACCTGTGCCTATGAAGTCTGGTGTAGCTGGGAAGGGCTAGACACTGGAAGGATATTCAAGTGTATGGAGTTGGGTGCTAGACAGGGTCTTGGAGGAACAGGGTCAGTGGGTGGTGGAGGTGTGGGTAACAAGATTTCTTTTCTTTATTTAGAAGGATAGATATACATTTTAATATTTCCTACATTTTATGTACTTCATATTTTTCAATTTAGTGAATTGTCAAATACTTCTGAAAGTGTTATATGTACCAGGAATAATTTTATCAAAATTTAAAACATAAAAATATAACTTCCTTTCCTTGAAGTATGAGGCATGTGTACATGTTCACTGTGTATAGGGACACGTTTTCAGTCATATGTTAATAATTTATGTGTGTTTGTAGTGAGCTAAGCATCATTAATACAGACATTTTCTACTCTCAGTTACTACATTATAGTTTACATCACAAACCACATTCCTAATCTTTAACTTTCCGGTTCAGGAAAACAAGTCACCATCCCTCACTGTGCATTATTTTATTTGTGCATTCATATTCTGTGGTTATAGTTCACTCAGAATTTTCTTCCTGTACCATTATGGAAAGTAACTCCATGTGTAGTATATTACACAGCCTAAAATGATCACAGAAGTTTACTGTGTTTTTTATTTCTGATTCTCCATTTGTTTCCAAATTTATTTACATCATCATGGTTTTCTCCTGACTTTTCTTGAAGAAACTCTGAAAACAGAAATTACACATGAAAAGAGTGATATTTAATAACAGTTACAAAAATCACTATTTCTCCAAGCCTTAAATAAGCAGAAAAATATTGACCTGGCTTCAAATATTTTTAGTTTGAAAGTGAGTGTTATATATGCTTCATGGAGACATGTCCACTAGGACTTAGCATCTAGCCTTAACCTAAAGAGAACTACTATTTCAAAATAGTGAAAATTACACACTAGGGAGAGTGTCACATTGGGAATAGAATAGGGAATTTTAATTGCTTTTAACTCACCTCCCTTAACTCTACACAGCTCACACTAATGATAAGAAATCTTGAGAGAATATATCCATATGCCATATATATTTATCTATTTATGATATCCCTTATTTATCAAAATTACCCTAAATTCATTCCCATCAGTGGTTTGTGAAGCTAGTACCTTAATCCTGGTATTTGATTTATAATACATGAATTACTTAGAGGTTGAGATCTGTGTGCCTATTCACTAAGTCAAAGAGAGTGGGGAGTTATTTTGAACTATCATTATCTACTACAGAACTATCTCATGTGAAGGTTGATGGCTCTAAAACTCACACAGAACAGAGACAGAAGTTTCCAAGGAGAGAAAAGGTGAGTACCTGAAATTAACAGTTTCTTTTAGCACTGTTCCACATCAGAATGAGACAGACTTTCTGAAATCCAGTCTCTAGACACTATAAGAAAGTAGCTCAAAATCCTCATTCATATTTTGAGAAGACATATCAAAAGTCAGGAAAAAATTGTTTAAATCCAACATTTCCAGTTAAGTTTAAAGGTTAAATTGCTTTTGATGTTAACACAAAACCTATCTAATTGGCTGCACTATGTCCTCTGAGGCAACAAAATAAATGCAATCCCCCTTATGTGGTTCCAGTCAGGTACATACTAGGTATAACTAACTTTAATATAGACATTCAATTTTCCTTTATAGGTTTGACTTATAATATTCTACCTAAAACACACCTCCAAATTAGCACAATGCACCAAAGAAATTTATATCTTATATTCTTATCTCTTTCTTCACATACATACCTTTTTTGCATCAATTGAACATTTAAATTCTTCATGTGCTTTATAGAACCATTTGCTTTGAATATGAAAACCACAATTTTATCACTTAACTTGAATATTAGCAATGAGGTAGTTTACCTCCCTCTCTCCTCCTAGACTATAGTAGTCTGAGTAGGAGTCAGGGCTCTGTGTTATGCCTCTGTCTATACTGAACACTGGAAACATCGTTTCTGTTTGTGACTTTTGAGTGGTTTAAAAATAGGTTCACTTTCTCATCCCAGCAGTGTATCCCTGAATGGTATCATCCTGTAAGTATCAATTGTTATTTTTATACATTTTATAATGCCTTTGTATATAATTACCAGTTAACTTCTTAATAAAATACCCTTTTCAAGACAAAATTCTAGCTCCAGGACAAACTTTACATTTTCCCTGGGTTCATACATCTATGCAATATTATGAGATATTTTCCTCTGTGTTTTTGCACAAATCATGACTGTGTAATACCCCTAGAATAATTATATAGACTTACCAAGGATTGTTTTCAAATACACACATAACTATTTAGAGAGTTTCAATGAGGAATTGCTAGAAAACTTCATTGAATTAGACATATCTATTCTTTGGCTACTCATGTAACACAGATACATTAAACATCTATTTGCATGTCTCATGTTAAAAATTTAACAGGTAACATAAATGAAGAGATGTTATAAACAGGAAATATCAGAATGAAAAACTTAAGGTTAATGCTACAAATCAAGCAGATGTGTGATAAATAATCTTTTCCTCACTTCCTACACAGAACACCCAAGTAGAAATGGCAGAAAGAAATGACACTGCAGTGACTGAGTTCATCCTCTCTTGGTTAACAAACCAACCAGAGCTGCAGCTGCCCCTGTTCCTCCTCTTCCTTGGAATCTACCTGCTCACAGTGCTGGGGAACCTGGGAATGATCATCCTGATCCTGCTCAGCTCACAACTGCATACCCCCATGTACTTCTTCCTCAGCAGTCTGTCCTTCATTGACCTCTGTTACTCCACTGTCATTACTCCTAAAATGCTGGTGAACTTTGTGACAGAAAAAATGTCATCTCCTACCAGGAATATATAATTCAACTCTATTTCTTCCTTGTTTTTGTTATATCTGAATGTCACATGTTGGCTGTCATGGCATATGATTGCTATGTTGCCATTTGTAATCCCTTGCTGTACAATGTTACCATGGAGTACCAAGTCTGTTCCTGGATGGTATGCTGGGTATATGGCGTGGGCATCATCTGTGCAGCAGTTCATACTCTCTGCATGCGAAGAGTGATTTTCTGTAAGACTAATGTAGTAAACCATTACTTTTGTGATCTTTTCCCATTGATGGAGATTTCCTATTCCAATACTTTTGTCAATGAAGTATTCCTCCTGTGCCTCAGTGCTTTTAACATCCTTGTTCCAGCCCTGGCCATCCTGGGTTCTTATATCTTCATCATTGCTAGCATTCTCCGTATCAAATCCACTGAGGGCAGATTCAAAGCCTTCAGCACATGCAGCTCCCATTTCTCTGCTGTTGCTGTCTTCTTTGGTTCCTTGGCATTTGTGTACCTACAGCCCTTCTCAGTCAGTTCCAAAGACAAAGGGAAAATGTCCTCTGTGTTTTATACTACTGTTGTGCCCATGCTGAATCCCATGATCTACAGCCTGAGGAACAGGGATGTCAAACTTGCTCTAAATAAGTTATTTCACAAAAAGACATTCCGTGTGTAAAGAATTATTTGCCATAGAAAAGACATAGCACTTACAACCAATATATTTCATTTTCTAACCCTCATCAAATTAAATTCCAAACAAGAAACTTTAGTTCTGAGTCAAATATCATCATCCACAATAGAAAATCTCAGTATCTCCTGGTGGTGTCCTCTTTTCCATCTTCTTCTGGGGCCCTCAGCAGCAGCGGTGTGGCTTTCTGTTCAGTAAGTAGAATAGATTCTATTAGAGTAAGACACTATCTCACTGCTTTAGAAACTTTTAGTCTTTTTTCATTCCCATGAGTACCAATGCAATTAAACATGTCACATTATGAGATAAGCCTGGAGGTTTTCAAATAGCAAATGGTAGCCTGCTCACTATGCTAATCTGTATCCAGAAGCATAGCCCTGGAGCCTTTATTTCTCTTTCCAGTATCACTTTTTAAGCCTATTACCTTTCAACTATTATTTCCCCTCCTGAATCCTGTACTAGGCACTGAATGTTGGCAGCTTTGTCTCAGCTTGACTTCAAGTATATGACAAGAACCTCTTTGACATGCCTGTTCTGGCTCATCTTGTAACACCAGAACTAAAAACAGGAGAACATTCATTTTGAAGAAAAAGAAAAAAGGTCCTTGATTTTCTTTAATCCTTGACTTATCTTCATCTTATTTCTTCTATTATACCATAAAACTCTATGTATGAACATCTAGGAAAATTGTTTGTTTTTGCTAAGTGACATGTGGGTCAATTGCTACCTACTAGTACATAATCATACATATCATTATCATTTTGGTAATTGACAAAATAAGTAGGACAGAAATTTGCAAGTTGAAATGAATACATGACTACCATTTCTCCTAGCACCATTCCGTCTAAGTATGTGTCAGAACATAATGACCTCTGTTCTCCAGAAATGATAAGAACATAATCACAGTAGGAGTACATGATCATTAATATTCCACAGTGAATCTTCAGAATATGGGAAATTATCTTTTTACTATTTCATTTCAAACATTTTCTAGGTATCCTTAATGATATTCTTATTTTGATATTAGCATAAAATAAATCTCATTAAATGTCTCTGTCTGTTTTTCGATCACATAGGAAAAATGCACTTTTGATTTGCATTATTAATCATGTACATATTGTATGTAAGTGACCTTCATGTAAATATTCATTTTTGTGGATAATTCATGTTCATGAAACTCTATAATATAATATACCCTCAGAGTAACTTAATTCCCCAAGTGTTATCTTGTTTTCCTTATTTTACATATGTTGTTCATTTTTATAAATCACTTAAGGTTATCTGCATGTTTCAGTGATTTTTGTTGATTCATATATTTTTAACATTGAAAACTATTGCTCTATTGCTTCTAAACTTTGTGGATTGTATGGACTTGTTTATAATTATCCTAACAGACTCTTAACATTCTTCCTTGACTGTCCACAGCCAACACCTTAGTAGCTCTACTCCTGTGAACCTGCCAATCATATTTTCCCAATGGTCTACTCTGCCATCTCATTTTAGGCTGTACCACTCTGAGGAGCAGTAACTATACATCATGTATCTCTCTATACTAAATTACACTCACAAGGAACTTCTGTTTGTCATTAAGAACTATTTTAGTTTCAATTCACACCCATATCTAACTAATTTCTTAAAGCATTATCACCATGGATGTATTTGTATTTATTCTCAATAAATTTACATAGTGATTATCAGTATATATGGCAAGTTATTGATACAATGCTTTTGTCAAGGCAGGGTGAAATGGAATGTCCCACAACAATACTTATGATTCTACAACTACTTTTAGATGTCCCCTGGGTTCCTAAAACTAAGATATTTGAGATTTAGCAATGATCTTGTAAACTAACACAGAGTTATTAAAAATTCCATTGTTTTAATCTAATAAAAGTATAATTAAATAAAAATGGACATAAGTTTCAGCACAACACACATCAGAAGACTATACAAAAGAGAATGGAGTTTCTGTGGTAGGACCAGCATTTTCTGCATCTTGAAGGAGACAATAAAAATAGAAAACCCAGAGAGTAGACATTGAAAGCATTCAAAACCACAGAAGGATATGTGACTTTGCATTTCTTGTGCTGCTAGAACAGACCATCATATTCTAGGTAAAGTACAATGATAAAGAACCTGTTTAGGTCAGTTGATATGGAGGGATGTCCAGGATCAAGGAACCATATCTGGTATGTACCTTACTTTTGCATCAGGCTGTGAAGGAAGCTTAGGGAATACTACCAAGTGCAGAGATAGGTAACCTCCTCCTTATTTTAGGAATTTATATATGTGACAATAACTTTACTTATAAAAGTACATTAAATTGATGATTTTATAACCTATTCGTCCTAGAATACCCTCAACCTGTGCTCTATTATATTATAGAGTAAGTTTCTAGCACAGACTTTGGGGGACATATCGTATCTACTAGATCATGCAAACTCAACCTCGTTTTTAAAATACATTTATTTTTGTACTTATTTCACATTCCTGCCACATTTTCCTCTTCCTCTTCTCCTTCTAGTCCCATGAGGCTACCTGATTATCATTTCAGGCTTTGTGAGAACCTATGGAATCTCATCACTTGATTCTGTGCATTTTCTTATAGTGTTCATGACCACTCTGTCTCCTACAATTCTTTGTCTCCATTTCTGATGAACTCCCTGAACTCTGCCTAATGTTTAGCTGTGGGTCAGAATCCGCTCCCATCTGTTACTAAATGAGCACTCTCTGGTGACAGTTGGACTGGGCACAAATCTGGTCACAGGAGATGGCCAGCTCAGGCTATGTATCTGCTATTGGTAGGAGTCTTATGCTGGGATTATCCTTGTAGATTTCTGGGAATTTCCTTTGCTCCAGGTTTTTACTTGACCTGAAATGCCCCCTTCCTGTAGTTTCTTTCATTACTCTCCCCATCTGTCATACTCCCAACGTGATTGCTCATGTTCCCATCCCCACCCACCCTCAGTCCCTTCATGAAATCTCTTCTATTTCCCCTTTCCAGGGAGACTCAGATGTCTCATGATGAACTATCCTTGTTACCTGGTCTCTCTGGGTCTTTAGACCATAGCATAGTCATCATTAAAATTATTAGTAGAGGTTTATAAAAATAAGTGGGGGTCATCAAAGGATACCACATTATAAATTAATAATTTTAACACCTACGTATTATTTCTACTTGTCTAGAATTGAAACAGAATTTGAGATGGTTGTCCTAGGTGCAAATTAGGACAGCATAGAGGCATCAGGCAGTAAATTTGATGGGTTTTATTGTTGTTGACGGTTTCTTCTCCTATCTTACACATTCAGTCATTTAAACTATTTACATATCTGTGCTTTGTTACTGTATGCTATCATAATAAATATTTTTCAGTCGTATGTCTATGGTGATTTTGATACTCAGCAGTTACAGTTGAACTGCCTATGGTTTCATATTTATATATTGCATATATTAAAAAAACTATGGTGATATTTGCCCATGTTTTAATACTGTAGTTTCTGTTGTTCACGGGACAAAGAAATGTCACAGTTTTGAGCAGCCTCTTATAAATGTATTTGGCATGAATAAAGAGGTACCTGCTGGATGTACTCTAGTGGGAAAGGCATCCAGGAAGGTGAAAAGTAACAGGCTGTGGTGGGCTGTTTTGTGTGGTTTGTGTGATGTCAGTATTATTTTGTTGCATTTGTAAATTGCAAAAATTTCAAGTATTGCTCTTATGGGTTTGTTTATATTTGTGCTTATGTATGGTATGTACGTGTGCTTGTGAAGGTGAAAAATCAACTATGTAGAGTTAGCTTTCTCCTTCATCATTGAAGTAGGCAACACGGATTGAAATCAATTTACCATGATTGTGGAATGGGTGTCTTTACCAAAAGGATCATCTCACTGACCAATGTTTGTTAGGTTATATTTACTAAAGTGTAGCTGTAGTTTTTAATGTAGAGTTGGGAGTCTTATATATTCATGAGTTGTGCAAATTTCACCATCTTATACTATAATTATTGTCCACATATCAACTGAAGCCTCATAAACCCATATGATCATGTGAGCATCTCCCATCCTGTCACACCAGACAGACAATATGCTCCCTTCCACCTATATGAGCCTGTCCCTGACACATGGCTCTATGTAATGTATGACTTCTCTGATTCCATTTTCCTGGCTGGTAAACAGGATGGGGGCCTCTGTCTATCTATGGTGGATTAGAGAGCAGGCTTGGACACAGATTTTGAGAGTCACCTGGCCAGACCTTGGGGAAGGAAATGGGAGGTCTGGATTAATAGACAGATTGAATGCAGTATAGAAAGAAGGTTTCAATAGCTGAATGTAGGGGGTTCCATATAAAAGCTTAGAGGTTAACAGCAAATCAGGCAGGGGTCACAACACCCCAAAACTCAAAATAGTTGCAGATATCTACAGGGTCCCAAAAGTTTGAGTCCTTAAACTTTCACTGTATATTGAGCTACCTGGGGAGAAGTTATGCTTTACTGTTTTGGCCACTACTGAATTATGTATGATCCAGTGAATAGAGTCACATCTACGCTTGCATGAATAAATCTGGATAAATCTAATGATTCATAAAAACAACCTACAAGCCAAAAAAAATTTGGAAGCTGGGTGGATATTTTGGGATAAAGAGAGGAAGAAAGCTGGGGTGTGTTAAAGGATGTATGGGAAGTTGGAGGAATAAGTATGATCAGAATTTATTATATAAATAGAAGGAATTGACAAATATAAAATAAGAAAAGTTCTGAAAGGTAAATTGTATGAAGTATCCATAGTAGACACTAACCAAGACAAAGACAAATATTAAAATAGTGCTTGTCTTGGACTTCAGGATAAGAATAATTGTAGGTTGAATGTGTAAATGAGACAGAATTTAAAGTCTTTCATACTTGGGTAGTGGTGGTAGTTATGTAGTGGTATAGTGTTATTAAGACACTCAATACAATGAAGTGTATATGAAAATAATTAAAATTCTACTCTTATGTAACAAGTAGATATAATTCAAATTTTGCAAGCAAAATATATGGATGCATGCCTATATTCCTAGGACTACGGATGCTAAAGCAGGAGGATTCCATGCTTTAGGACTTCCTCAAACATGGTGAAAGACTGGGTAAATTTTTACATAAAAAGGAAAGATAGAGGATAAGAAAGGAATGAAGAAAATTGCAGAAGTACAAGTAATACATATCCATAAAATTAAATATGTAAAAAAA